CTGGATCAATGGCCGACTTTCAGTTAAGAACATTAACCCTGTTCGCCAGTGATATGCCGAATAATCAGGTTCGGCGCGATGGTCAAAGCTCCGGTTCCACATGCCGCACGTCCAGAGTTCGAATCCCAGGGCTATTTTATGCTTTATTTTTGTTTGATTCCTTCATTCCTTCAAGTTTCTTCCATTTATTTTGGTCCCAAACTTCCATGTTTATTTTCCGTCCTTGCAATTATCCTAAATGCATCCAAATGACCTCAAAATGCCTGCAAAACATATAAAACCAAGCATAGGACTGCTCTACCAAAATAAAACGGAAAATTGGAACAAAATATAAATATTAAATTCAATTGGGACTCAAAACTCCTTCAAAATATGTCTAAAAAGTGTATAAAATATGTGCATATCATTTTACTGCGGAATCATGGGCACCAAGCAAAACACTGTCGGTCAACAGTGGCTTCAAGGGTGTCACCGGAGGACTTTCCCTTTGACTCATCATCCCTTCGTGCTGGTGGAAAACGTAATGTGTTGAACATCGGACAGAGATGGATTCGGGAGGTTGACCCAACTATTGATGAATTGTTAAGTGGTAGTAGTGAGGCGGTTAGTACTAATCTTGGAGAGGAAGGTAGCTCGGGGTTTGCTCTCATTGCTAAACGTAAACGTACGACAGAAGGTGGGGTATGAGGCAATGGTGGATGGCTCAAAAAACTTATTTGGGGCGGGTTCTGGCTTCCAGGCCCGCCAGAATCAATGAGTACCATATGCTGGAACTGTCGTGGGTTGGGCAACCGACGAACAGTTCAGGAAGTGGCAGAATTAATTTCTGCCAAGAAGCCCGAGTTTGTGTTCCTTATGGAAACCAAAGGTTCTCGTGTTGCTGCGGAAGAGCTGCGTGTTCGTATTGGTTTTCATGGTCTTTTTGTTGTGGATAGTGTGGGTAAGAGTGGTGGCCTTGCTATGCTTTGGCGTTCCAACCATACTGCGCGTCTTATTAGTTATTCCCGTTTTCATGTTGATATTGAGGTTTTGTCTCTGCACTCCTCATCTTGGCGTCTCACTGGTTTTTACGGCAACCCAAGAAGAGATCAGCGACACTTTTCTTGGGACCTTCTCCGATCCTTACGCGATAAATCTTCCCTCCCGTGGTTAGTCATTGGTGATTTTAACGACCTGTGTTGGGCTGCTGAGAAGCGAGGAGGTGAACCACATCCTCAGGCTTTATTTGAAGGTTTTGTGAGGGTTCTTGATGATTGTAATTTATTCGATATCAGTATGCAAGGTTATCCTTTCACGTGGGAAAGAGGATGGGGCAAAGAGTGGTGGGTTGAGGAAAGATTGGACCAGGCTGTGGCTAATGGGGCTTGGCGTATACTCTTTCCACAAGCAGGTGTTTTCAACAATCTCATGCGGACGTGTGATCATTCAGCACTGTATCTTTGTTTGGACACTGTCTCTTTGCAACCGGTAAAGAGACAATTCAGATTTGAGAATACTTGGGTTCGGGATGAGAGTTATCAGGACGCTCTCAAAGCCGCATGGGGAGGAACATGTTCTGTGCCCTTCTTGGCTCGGCTTGAACAGTGTGGTAAGGATCTCAAGACTTGGGGTGGTTATCTTTTCCAGAAGTTTGGGAAACGCATTAAAGAATTGAAGAGTGTGGTGGAGAGGTGGAGGGGGCGTAGGGACCCGGAGGGTTTAAAGGAATTTCTTGAAGCAGATAAGGAGCTACAGAAGGTGCTGGACCAGGAGGACATTTATTGGCGTCAAAGGGCAAAACAGCACTGGCTTCGCTCTGCTGATTCCAACACCCGCTTTTTCCATCAGTATGCTTCTCACCGTAAACAAAAGAATTGGCAGACACGGGAGACTTTGCGAAAGTTAATTTTCTCTTTCTATGAAAGGCTGTTTAGCACTGAGGGAGGGGGTGAGTCGGCCATTCTCAACTCTATGTAGAGAAGGGTGTCAGACCAGCATAACCACATGTTATTGCGTCCTTTTATGGCTAAGGAAGTGAAGGATGCATTATTTTCAATGCATCCGGACAAATCCCCCGGTCCAGATTGTATGAATCCTGGATTCTATCAAAAATCATGGGATGTTGTGGGTCAGGATGTTACAGCTTTTGTCCTCAAGTGTTTGAAGGACAAAAGTTTCCTAGAGGAGATGAATGATGCTACAATTGTTTTGATTCCAAAGAAGAATAACCCCGAGACAGTTGGGGAGTTGCGGCCTATTGCATTGTGTAACATTGTCTATAAAATCATTGCAAAGATGATTGCTAACCGCATGAAGGCCGTTCTAAAAGAGATCATTTCCGGTTCCCAGTCTGCTTTCCTCCCTGGGAGATTGATTTCAGATAATATTCTAGTTGTCTCAGAGATGGGACATTTTCTAAGGAGGAAGCGTAAGGGTAAAACTGGTTGGGTAGGGTTAAAGTTGGACATGGCTAAAGCATACGATCGTATGGAGTGGAGCTTCTTGCGGCAAATGCTAGAGAGATTGGGTTTTGCCAGGTAGTGGATGGATCTTATCATGCTTTGTGTCTCGACAGTCCGTTATAGAGTGCTGATTAATGGCATTCTCACAGATCCTATTGTGCCTTCTCGTGGCCTCCGACAAGGTGATCCTCTCAGCCCGTTATTGTTTATTATTTGTGCAGAGGGGTTGTCTTTCCTATTACAGAATGCAGAAAGCAGAGGGTTGTTACATGGTATTCGGGTGGCTCGTGGTGCGCCATCGATTTCACATCTTTTGTTTGCGGATGATAGCCTCCTTTTTTCAGAGCTAATCAAGTAGAGGTTAGTGAGGTGCTCTGGCGTTTGTCAGAATATGAAAGAATGTCGGGCCAGGTTGTTAATTTTCATAAATCTAGCATTTGTTTCAGTGCCAATACCATGTGTAATCATAAGGTTTGGCTAACTCGGTTCTTTGGTGTTGTGCAAGCAAATGACTTTGGCAAGTATCTGAGACTTCCCTCATTTTTGGGAAGGAATAGAATGGTAGCTTTTTCGTATCTTTCAGATAAGATTAAGCAACGTTTCACCTCTTGGAATAAGAAGCTTTTGTCCAGAGCAGGGAAAGAGATTTTGTTGAAGACGGTTGCACAGGCCATGCCTCAATATGCAATGAGTACTTTCTTTCTTCCTCGTTCATTTTGTTTATCTATTGAACGTGAAATGAACTCTTTTTGGTGGTCTAACAAAGGCGAAAATAATAGAGGTATCCATTGGATGGCTTGGGGTCGTATGACATACCCTAAGAAATTCGGAGGTATGGGGTTCCGTGACATCTCGGCTTTTAATGTGGCGCTTTTGGGTAAGCAAGGTTGGCAGTTTCTTACAAACCCAGCGGCATTGGTTTCTCGGGTATTTAAGGCGAGGTACTTCCCAAAGACATCTTTCTTGGATGCAAAGCTAGGTCATAATCCTAGCTATTGTTGGAGGAGCATATTAGCAGCACAAAATTTGTTGTCCTCAGGCGTTAGAAGGCGAGTGGGCAGTGGTTTGAATACTACTGCATGGGGTTAACCATGGCTCTTAGACGACACAAATCCTTGTCTTAAGACTCCGATTACAGAAGCCACAGAAAGCATGGTGGTGGCCTCTTTTATTGATTCAAACTTGGGAGGATGGAATATACCGATGCTCGAAATGACCTTGATTCCAAGAGATGTGCATGAGGTATTAAAAATCCCAATTAGTCAGTTTCGTGAGGATTGTTGGTATTGGAGAGGTGATCTAAGAGGAAACTACACAGTTAAGGATGGTTGTCGGAGACTTATGGGGGAAGTGACCAATGTTACGGGTTTTTCAAACTGGGGGCGTTTATGGAATATTCATGTTGCCCCAAAAGTCAAAGTTTGTGTTTGGAGAGCTTTGAGGGGCATTCTTCCAATGGTTGAAGCTTTAAATACTAAGGGTATGGCGTTAGAGAATTTATGCCCTCTTTGCGGACATCCAGGTGAGTCAATTGATCATATTTTTTTGCGTTGCCCTTTTTCTGTTGCAGTTTGGCAACTTCTGAGAGTTGATATTTTTCAAATTGGGGCATTGTCTTTTGAAGCTTGGTTCCAAGGGGTTACTTGCTCTACCTCAAGCCTTGAACTTCAGAAGATATCTTGGACTATCTGGTCAATTTGGAAAGCCCGTAATAGAGCTGTGTGGGAACATATGGTACAACATCCAAGGTCTACGATTGTGCAGGTGGAGGCTTTTCAACGGGGGTGGACTGATGCGGCTACCTCTTTGAAGAGTGGAGGTTCTGTTGTTGCAGTTCCAGGTGCTGTTTTCCAACCCAACACTGCTGTGACAGGGGGTGAGTTGTGCTTTGTGGATGCTGCTGTTTTCCCACAGTCTGGTTTGGTTTGTTTTGGTTGTGTGCTGTTAGGTGAAGACCGATGGTTCCGAGGAGCAGTTAATGGTCGCTTAATCTGTGTGTAAGAACCTTTGATGGCAGAAGCCATGGCATGTCGTGAGGCATTACTCTGGTTGAAAGGTAAGAGGATTCGTGCATTCAAGCTTTTCTCTGATTGTCTTCAATTGGTCACGGCTATTGAGCAATGGGATCGTGGCCCCTTTTCTTCATATCTTGGTTCGTTGATTGAAGACTGTTATCGTTTACTTTCTTCTTTTGAGTCTGCATCTATTTGTTTTATTCGTAGATCTTTTAATTCTGTTGCTCATACTTTAGCGAGAAGTGCTTCTACACATCGTTCCATGTGGGATGACACTCCTCCGGAACTTATTGTGGACCTTTTAGTTAATTAATGAATTAATATTTCCTTTCAAAAAAAACAATGATAATAAAAGCTTGGTGGACTAGAAGAGGAGGGAATAATAAGTTGGGAGAGGGAGTAAGTATTTTTTGGTATAAAACACAAAACTCATACAAACCCTTTATATATATATATATATATATATATATATATATATATATATATATATATATATATATATATATATATATATATATATATATATATATATATATATATAGGCCAATAGACTGGGTTGTCTTCTCCATAAACTCATCAGTCCTGAACAAAGTGGGTTCCAAGCAGGTAAAGGGGTGGATGAAAACATACTCCTCACCCAAGAGATGATCCATTGTCTAGACAATGCATCTGGTAATGCCAACATTGCTATCAAGGTGGATTTTGCCAAGGCTTTTGACAGAATCTCCTGGGGAGTTTCTTGAGAAAGTTCTCAGCTCTTTTGGCTTCTCTCACTTATCCAGTAAACTGCTCTTATCTACTCTTAAGGCAACTTTCTTCTCCATCCTCATTAATGGATCACCACACGGTTTCTTCATGATGATGAGAGGGGTCAAACAAGGAGACCCCCTCTCCCCCCTCCTCTTCATTATTGGAAATGAAGGTTTAAGTAGGTTGATCAAGGCTAAGATTCAGGAGGGCTTTCTGAAAACCATATCCACAGGGAGAAATAGGCCTCCCTCACACCTAGCCTATGCGGATGATATTATTTTCTTCCTGAATGGACATTTGAGAAATCTTCTCAGATTCAAAGGGCTCTTAGACTGTTTCCTTAAAGCATCAGGCCACCTCATCAACCTGAACAAGAGTCATTTCTACATAGGATCAAAGGTGAAGCCAGATATCAAAAGCAACATGCGAAGAGCTCTCAAAAGGGAAGAAGGCAAGCTCCCATTCGTATACTTGGGGGCAACAATTGGCAAAGAGAAGATTAAAAAAGAAGATTGCATGAAGATTATATTACACTTTGATGCCTACCTTAACACTTGGCATAGCAAGGTTCTAAACCAAATGGGGCGCCTGATTCTCATTAAACATGTTTTAAGCTCTATTCCTTTACATATTGTTGTTGTCCAACAGATGCCAAAGTCAGTCCACAACTTATTAAACAAGAAGATGCAAAATTTCCTTTGGGGCTACATAGATGGAAGGCCAAAGTACCACTGGAAATCCTGGAGAAGTTTATGCTACCCAAAGTACGAGGGAGGGTTGGGCATCAGGCACCTGGAAGATGTTGAAGCTGCCTACTCGGCCAAAATATGGTGGAAGATTAGAAACTCCCACGGCATATGGGGAGATTACATGAGGAGCAAATATCGTCCAGCCTCATTTCAAGAATGCCCTACGGATACATTGACTTGGAAGAGGGCTGCACGAATTCATACCTGGGCTATTCAGCACGTCCACAACACAGATGATGCCGAAACATGGGAGGGAGAACCTTTCACCACCAAGATTGCTTATCACTCCTGGAGGGAATCCAAACCTACTTCTCTCGTTAGCAAGATGGTTTGGAACAAACTGCAGATCCCAAAGATCAGTCTCTTCATGTGGAAAGCTCTCAACTCCATTCTCCCATTCCCGGAAAATCTAGCCAGATTCAACCTGGCCATCCCCTCTCAATGTAACTACTGTCACCATGGGCCCCAGGACCTAAACCACACACTCATCCAATGCCAAATGTCAATAAAGATATGGAGATTCTTCTCAGCTCTTTTCGATGGTCCTGTTGTCAATAGGGCAGAT